CTGTATATCGAAGTCTTTGGTACACTTGCACAAATGTCTGGGTGTCCCCTTTGGCGAACTCTGAGGAGCTTCACCGTAAACTAACAACATGTCGGCGAACTCTTGATTCGAGAACATTGTACGAGAACGACGACGTACGTGAACAAAAACAAAACAACACGCCCGTTGCTATGCAAAACGATAACTAACCACTGTTATCGCTTGCGATCGATTGCCGGTTCGATAAGAGTGATGAAAAACCGACGCGCTGTTGTCATGTGTGTTTTAAATATTCAATTTAATGAAGATTACTTACTGACTACAAATTTTGGCTTAATTTAGAAAAACTTAATGCCATTTATTTGTTAATTACCCAATTTGAAAGCGTTTTAGATTAGATTATAAAAATTAGTAAGATTGTGGTCGATATAAAGCACTTGTGAACTATAAAGCCATTTAGACAGAAATCTATTGACTTTTGGACCATGGGTCATATGAACTTTTTGACTTGATTTGACCCCCCTATTACCCATTTTAATAATGACTATCAAAACGTTTACACCCTGTATGCAGAGAAATCCATATACCACTGACGTCGTAATGTATACGAGAGACAAACTCGAGAAGTGTACCATACGTATGTTAGAAAGAGATAGAAGCGCCACGTTGTCTAGCAACGTGATGAGGCCACACCGCTCTTACTATTTCTTTTATTATGCGATTTTTGGTATGTTAGTTCTTTCTGACTAGTCCTTCAAGCGGTTAAAATGAATGACTCAACTTTGAAAACACCCTGTATACTGGAACCGATATTTCCACGTTTATAGTAATTGCGTTTTTTGTACACCAACCTCTAGCATGCGATTTTTGATCTGCATGAGGACGCAGAACCGTATGACCGCGTTCTGTGAACAAATGTTTCCCCAACTCTCATAATAAAAACAAGCTGCCGCGTGACCTACTTTCTTCAGGGATAGGAGGACATTATTTTATCTGGCTGTCATTATCTCGACTATAACGACGGCAGTGCGACGTGCGACGCCTTATTTTCTTGAAAGTTCACGCCCTCTACCACCTGTTAGGTGGTCCAACTCGAATAATGCGCCTATTACGGATAGGCCATGATATTCCTAAGAGGGTATAAATCGTAATAAATAATAGTTTAAAGAAACTAAAAAAAACACGCTTTTATAGCAAACCGAACTAACAAGTAGAAAATAATTTTTAATTACAAAGCGTTTATATTACAGTAGTAGATTGTCGAACAATCAATCATAACTAATGACCTCAAAATAAAATTATAATAAAGTTTAAGCTATTAACAGAATAATTCAATTTAGAGCAAAAAGCGTGGGGTGTATTTTACTCCATTTTCATAACCTTCCTCTCATAGATAGTTGCTAATAAAATGATTGTAACATTTAATATATCAAGCACCCCACGCTTTTCACTCTGAATTGAGTTATTCTGTTAATAACTTAAATTTTATTATAATTTTATTTTGAGGCCATTCATTGAAATGCCTTACGAATCAGTTGGTAATCTAAGCTCCACTGTTGCTTGAGGTTTTTCCTGTTAACTTAGAGCAATCAAGTTCTTCAATCAATAAATAGCTTTTAAAAAATAATTCCGTTTTTTTTGGTACCCCTCGTACATATGTACATACATATACAGGGTGTTCCTTAATGATATGCGAATATTTAAGGGTGTGAATCTACATGAAAAATTTATGTTTGTTTGCTTTATAAACTATGGTCCAAAAATGTTTCCTTACAAAAACTCGGGGTGTTGAAGTTTTAGGAAAAAAATGGAAATTAATTAATATTTTCAGAACCGCTTCAGATATTTCACTGATATTTAGTACGTAGTGAAAGTTAATAAATATGCATATTTTTCACTGCAAAAATAAATGTTAGCTTTAACAGTGGCGTGCGTACGGTATTGACTTCGATATTATTTAAGAAAAAAAATGTACGCCAATGATTTTTCGCCAAATAAAAATTATTCTTGAATTCCCCGTTCAATTAAAAATAAACGATCTCTCTTGAATTGTTTTCTTTCGATGCGCCATTTTTGAGTAAAAAAATAAAAACCGTTCTATTGTCCGAGAAAATTAATGTAATAATTGAAGAATGCAATTTAGCAATAAACATCTAGTTGCTCTGGAATATGTCACTGGCTTTTGACATCTGACAAGCCTCTGTTATTCAAATCTGTTCGCTGTGACATCTTTTTCATTATTTAGTTTTTACAATCTTGTTAATAATGGTGGATTATTCAAATGCAGAAATGGCGGAAATGCATTAAGTATATGGCCTTGCCGACAGTAATGGTGAGCAAGGCAGACAGATTTATCACCAGAGATATCCCGATCGTGCTTTGCCAGACAGTCGAATATTCATCGTCGGCTTGTTGAAACTGGTTCTGTCCTTAAAGGGTCATCTGAAGGTAGACCTCTAGGTGTGGGAACACCTGAAATTGAGGAAGCAGTGCTGCACGAAGTCGAAAAACATCCTGAGACGAGTACGAGGAAGATCGCTAGAGCATTTTAGTGGATTTTTTGTTATATCCTTACCATATTTTAAGAGTACAGGCATTACTTCCCATTGGTGCTCCAAGGCGTGTGTGGCCTTTTGTCAGTGGTATCTTCAATAAATTCGCAATTTGAATCAATGATTCTGTCTCTCGGACGAAGCTAATTTTTCCTGAAATGCCATTCATAATTTTCACAATAATCATTTGTGGGCAGAAGAAAATCCCTATGCCGTAACCGAAACCCATTTCCAACACTAATTTTCGGTTAGCGTATGGGCAGGTATTATTGGCAACTACTTTACTGGCTCATTCTTCTTGCCGGGACGACTTGGCGGACATACTTACCTCAATTTTCTCCAACAACAGTTGTCTTTGCTGCTTGATGATGTTTCGTTAGTAATAAGAAACAATATGTGGTACATACATGACGGTGCACCAGTGCATTTCATGGTAGCGGTTCGAAATTATTTACAAACTGTTTATCCAAATCGTTGGATTGGCCGCGGTGGGCACCAAGAATGGCCACCAAAGTCCCCAGACCTCAACAGTACAGATTTATTTTTGTGAACTATCTGAAGCGGTTCTGAAAATATTAATTAATTTCCATGTTTTTCCTAAAACTTCAACACCCCGAGTTTTTGTAAGGAAACATTTTTGGACAATAGTTTATAAAGCAAGCTAACATTAATTTTTCATGTAGATTCACGCCCTTAAATATTCGCAAATCGTTAAGGAACACCCTGTATATATGCATACATGCCAACCTAATAAAATGTGTGTTAAAAAAAGTATACCACAATCTGCCTCCTATGAGCATTGAACTCACAACCCCTGGTTCAAAAGAGGTTTGTAGTGTCAGTATTCGTAAAGTGGTATTTGAAATCCGTGGCTTTTTATTATCTGCTTTTACAGAATTTTACTTATGAATAAGGATAATGGAAAACTGTTATCAAATTATTGCATTGTCATCGGTCCCTGATACGTATGCGAAGTTTCAAATTATTCACACTTCTGGAAATTGGTGAAAATTATGCTCAGATTCCGCCATACATACGGGCCAAGCTAATAAAAGCGTGAGTTACGCCACTGGAAATGCATAGGTTCGAAGAATGAAGACGCTGAATCAGCTTTTTCCGTTCTTATCATAGACGCACACACACTTGCTTTGTTATTGAGATTTATTTTGAAATGCGAATTGCGAAAGGCTTTCGCGGCCATCATCCAATGTTATTTGGTTGGTTTTTGGGTTGTTAGGCCGTCGTTAAATATTTTTGCTTGACGATTCGCCAATACGAGTGGTTGGTATCTTCAAAAGATGTTCACAGTTCGGAGTCCTATGCGCTACTGAGTAGCAAATAACATGAGATTCACTTTGCTCTTGCTACAATCAACCAGTCGCGAAGCGTCCATGTAACCATTGTTAACAGTTAAAAATCTTAAAAATAAATATTTTATGACTAAGCACTGTGAAATGATTCATTTGTTTACCAACAGCAATATGTAATAGTAATTCAGTAAATAGCAAATCAGCACCACGAAAATAATGCGCCCTATAGTGTCTAGGTTTTGCGAACACGATGAAGCTGACTTGGTTGGCGGTTGTTACCATTTTCATTTATGGATACACTCGGTAGTCCGTCGGGGACCTTCGGAGCCGGCTCGTGTCTGATCGCGGTCGCCCGAGTGTGTGTGTAGATAATTCTAAAAAGGAATAAAAAAACGTAGTTTGATATTTTAAATTAAGTTGGTATATGGAAACTCTTGGTTATGTGGTTGCAAAAAAACATATTGTATTGTTGGCGATGTCATCTATTTTATACAGAAAAAAATGGGTGGACCAGCAGCGGAGTCAACAATTTAAATAGTTTTAGGGCTCTAAAGAGAAGACATGAAATTCCTCCGTTACATGTGAGATGTGTAGCCAAATTAAATCAGTTTGGCAAAACAAGAATCGAATGTTGTCTTAACCAAGCTTTTAGGCAGCACACTTCTAGATACCGTATGTTTTTTGGCAAAACAGGAATTACCGTTCATTTTGAAGGGGATGACTTTGGCAATAGAGGAAATTACAGGGAATTGTTAACATTCATTGCCAAAAAAAGATCAAAAACTTTCCGAACATCTAGAAACGCAGACTATTTTTTCGGACGGCTTGGATTAGTCATAGCATAAGACGATGAGGTATATCACATGACCCAGACGCTCAGTCTAGGAATGTTTACCTTAATTTAAAAATAGTTTAAATAAAGATAAGCGAAAACTTATATTTGGGAGGTTCAAAATAAACTTTTTTTAATAAGATTTTTCACATCTGGTTTTGGTAACAGTTTAGGAAAAGTCACGCGTCGCCACTGCAATCAACTCTGTTATTATTCTCAATAAAAATTTGTTAGTTCGGCCTAAAAAAGTACTTTGAGTTTTTTTTAAACTCATCGTCGCAAGCTCTCCTCCTAACTAGTGTTAAAAAGCGTATTGAAAATGAGATTTCGTGAAAGACTTGTGTTTATTTCATAAATTACAATTATTCCAAACAAATACAGTCATCAGAGCTTGAGGCAGATACTGTTCAACATTCTTGCAACTAAAATGACCTAGAAATTGTTTAATACATATTTTGTGAAAAATTACAAATAATTATAGTGGTAACTATACATATCACATAACCAGTCCATATGGATAAGCTTGTAGACGAATTAGATGCGAGTTGTAATCTACACTCCTGATCATAGTCTACTGGTATCATAGATTTCAGCATATGTTCCAATTGTTTTACCTTGCATGGGGTACGACATAGTACCATACCAGGATCTGGTTGGCTGTCCCAGGCGTTACTGTATTTGAACTGAAGAAAAAATAGGGTAATCATGAGATAATCAAGAACTATATGGTGTTACAGAATGTTATGAGGAAAATTTCAGTGCAGATTTTACACGTAGATTTTTTTACGAAAACCAGTGCCGAGTTTTTTTTTTCGGTAAACATAGTGAGTCTCCGGTACGAGCGCTACATGTGTGCTTTATAAAACAATTTTGTTCATATCAATATGACCTTTGGTAATATAAATGGTGTTCCACCTATTGCTTCTTTTTTAAAGTACCATTTTTTGACATGTTAAATGTCTCAACTGCCATGTTTTTAGCACATATGAACTGTCAAAGGTCTGCTGTTTGTTAGTATGGAACAAAGCAAGAACGCATTTTGGTCGTCCAAAACTATCACGAAAACGGACGATCTTTAAAAAGTACTTATCGCAAACTTCTTGATGAATTTGGTCGACATAATCATCCCATAGAGCATAGAATTCGGTGGATTACACTGATAAACACAGGAATTGTGTAAACATCACAATTTTTGGGTGTATCTTATGTATTTTGAGACCCTTAAATCAAATCTAAAAACAGAATTTTCCTATCACCCACAGATATTTGGTAACCTCTACTTTTATGAATTACAATACGTAATATCTCATATTGCTGCATTTCTTGGCGCTTATGCGATGACGCACATATATAATATTAAGACCTGTCTATTCCTGTTTATTATATGCGAGCTCTATGTTTAGAGATCATATTGCGTTTATTAGTAGACTAATAGCAGCCGAGTCAGTTACGTTTTCGGTGTTGAAGGGTACTGATATGTTCGGAGTACTGTTAATTTTTGTTAAAACGGTGTGTTGTTTTTAGTTTATTGTGATCGAGACTATCTTTATCTACAATGCCTATAAAATGTGTAAATAGTGCGAACAGTTTTTGTTATGTGTGCGAAGAGCTAGCTTTCAAATCCCAAAAACGTACTTTCACTCCCCTTGTATTGAAAGCATACGAACTTATTTTGGAATTAAAGTTGGCGACCAAGATTAACTATGGGCCACTCATATATCTTGTAAGTGTTGTGTCACTTTGTTAACAGGTTGGTTAAGAGGTGACAATTGTAAAATGCCCTTTGCAGTACCAATGGCTTAGAGAGAACCGAGAGACCATACTACTGATTGCTATTTTTGCCTCACAAATATTAAAGGTATTGGACCAAAATCGAAACATACTTTTTAATTTACCATCAGCTTTGCGGCCCGTTAAGCATAGTGATGAACTTTCTGTCCCAGTTGCACCAGAATCTTGGTCTTTGGATGAAAAAGTCGAATCCACCGATTCTGAAAGTGATGGTGCAGAAAGCGTAAAAATTAAAATCCCAGTCAGAACTTTTAGCGTCGAGATTAAATGGATGGAATCTTCTCCACGGTGATGAGTTGAGTTGACTTGAGTATACGTTTATTTTTTCACCCAAAATACAATGTGTTAATAAATACAAATGCTAACTTCAGTACAATAATAAACGTAAAATAAATGCATACTAAGTTGGGACTGATGAAAAATTTTGTGAAAGCTATGGATCGAAATGGAAGAGGGCTTCTTCATTTAAAACAAACATTTCCTAGACTTAGTGAGGCAAAAATTAAAGAGAGCACATTTGTGGGTCCACAAATACGGAAAATCATGAAGGATGATGTATTTGACAGTGCTCTAAATGAAACTGAATTACGAGCTTGGAATGCCTTTAAATCAGTTACTGTAAATTTGGGCAATGTGAAGGCGGACAATTATAAAGATATTGTGAGTGAACTAATTAATGCTTATAAAGGAATGGGATGTAACAAGTCTCTAAAAATTCACTTTTTGGATTCTCATCTAGATTTTTTTGAACATGGTGAACGGTTCCATCAAGAGATTTTTGCTATGGAAAAACGGTATCAAGGCAAATGAAATGTCAATTTGCTTGCTGATTATTGCTGGACATTGTTAAGAGATACTTCAGGAGCAACATATCGCCGTAAAACATCGACAACAACATTCTGAGATTAATGTTTATTCGAGTGTTTAGTAGTACTCTTACACACATATCCTTATATTTTACGAGTATAAGCAGCAAATAAAATGCCTTATTGCAATAAAACCGTGGGTGGTAGAAAAAATCGAATGCTATTTGGGTACGTTTTACATAATAACCACCTTATTTTGTCCATGTCACAAAAAATTATTTTAATTTCGTTCACTAGTATTATCAATCGTTTTGAGGAAACTTTCCCAGTTGAAGGTAGTAGAACATATCAACATGCCCGACCGGTACGTGAATCAGTGACCGCTGTGAGTGAAAGTGTTCATCAACAGCCATCAACTTCGATAAGACACCGTTCGCAAGAATTGGACATCAGGCCAACAACATTATGGAGGATTTTGCATGTTGATCTCCACCTCCACCCATGCAAGATCCAACTAACTCAACAATTGAAGCCAGTTGACCATCAGCAACGGCGTATTTTTGTTAATTGGGTGTTTGTAAAAGGAGAGGGATTTTCGGCTAAAATCATATTTTCAGACGAAGCACATTTTTACCTCAGTGGCCACGTAAATAAGCAAAACTGTAGGATTTGTGGTTCGGAAAAACCACACGAGATCCATGAAGAATCTCTTCATGGATCGTTCTTTTTGGAGGATGGAGAAGAAAAAGCCGTTACGGTCACCGCCGAACGTTATCGTGGTATGATAACGGATTTTGTTTTCTAACATTAGAAGGTATTGATGCCAACAACCCTTGGTTCCAGCAAGACGGTGCAACTTCATACACCCCTCGTCAAACAATCCAGTCATTGGCCGAGAAATTTCCAGATCGCATTACTTCGAGAAATTCCGACGTCAATTGGCCTCCAAGATCGTGCCATTTAACGCCGCTGGACTATTTGCCCTGGGGACTTTTGAAAAGTGCACGCGACTGCCCCACGCAGGATTCAAGACCTTAAGCGCAACATTCGCACCGAAATTGCGGCCGTAGACCCGCTAATACTGCAAAAAGTCATCGAAAATTTTGATGTTCGGATGATGGCATGTCAACTGAGCCACGGTGGACATATTATGTACGGTGTTATATTCCATACATAAAATAATGGCAAAGACCGACCTACAATTTTCAAGAAAGAGTTCGGTTTCTCACTCATAAAAAGTGTGTTCCTTTTAGATTAAAAAAAGAAGGAACGAATTATTACCCATTGTGTACGCTAATATGAACTTGAACTTTACTGATAACATACTGTAACAACCAGCAGAAAAACGTTTAAAATAAATTATATCGTTGTTTGCAAAATTTGATCTCAGGAAAAAACGGTCAGCTGTGCCTAAAAGGATTTAGAAACGAAGCTTTTCGGCGTTTTGATTTTTTTTTTATTGCCAAACGTCAATATAAAAACCAATAGACGATACATTAACAAATCGATGAAAATGAGCAACGATGGAGGTTGTCAAGACATACAAAGATTTGTAGTACTGACTACAAATTTTGGCTTAACTTAGAAAAACTTAATGCCGTTTATTTGTTAATTACCCAATTTAAAAACGTTTTAGATAAGATTATAAAAATTAGTAAGACTGTGGTGATTGTGGCTGATATAAAGCACTTAAAGTTGTAAACTATAAAGCCATTTAGACAAAAATCTATTGACTTTTGGACCATGGGTCATATGAACTTTTTGACTTGTTTTGACCCCCCATTTCAATAATGACTACCGTAACGCTTATTTTCAGTGAAAAAATTGTTTCATACAGGTAAAATCCTAATTTGTAATCTACTTTCAAAATTTTCTTGGAATTTCCAATTCTCGAATTTTTGCACCAACAATCGTGTATGCAGAAAGTCAACAATTTATAAAAAAATCTGATGTATAAAGGGCGCTGCGGAAAAAATCCGATTATTTAGGGAGCCGCAAACCGGAAAAGATTGGGAACCTGTGACATGAAATAGAAGATTCCGTTAAAAACTTAGGTCTGTTTATAGATAAGTTACATAATAAGTGTTACTTAATAATATGTTTTATCCAATCAATAAAGAATACAGTGGACCTCCGGTAATCCGACAAACATTATGCAGGGCAGTGTCGGACTATCGAATTTTTCGGATTATAGAACACTGCCTAGTCCGGAATTTTTTACAAAAGAGTAGGTACCTTGTAATCCGACAAATTACATATCCAATGGTAAGATTATATATGTTATGTATATGTCTGTACTTTGAAGTACAAATCATACATAGTTTATGTATGTCGAATTTAGTAAATTAAATAACAATAGAGAGCTTACGTTTTATTATAAAAGTAAGCATAAATGCACATACATATGTACCAAAATAATCAAGAATTATTAATCAAAATCATTAATGAAATTATCAAATCATGAAGCTTGGAAACATTCATCAATTTTTTTTGTTTAAGGTTGTTATAACGCGAGATCAGAGCTTTGTCCCTCAGTCTTCTCAAAAGTAAAAGTTCGTTGTAGGATGTATCATTCTCTTCAGCCCATTGTAAACCCAAAGGCGTTAATTGCGTCTTGTGCTGTGACTTGTGGAGCAGTTGCAATAACGTCGTCGTTATTTTCCTGATTATTTGATGTATAATTAGAAACCTCTTTTATAATCTCTTCGTCAGACATTTCATGACAAACATTTTCCTCTTTATCCATTCCACGGCACCAGATTTCCAAATCTTCCGGACTTATCCGTGTTTCAGTAGCGACTTGTTCTATAACTTCCGAAGTTACACTGATTTGTGAAACGTTGCTAGGAGTGGTGACTATATCTGGCCATAACTTTTTCCAAGACGATTTAATAGTTGTTGACGGTAACGCATTCCACGACTGACAAAGAGCAAAAACCAAGTCTTTCATATTAAATTCTTTTAAAGTTTTTTCTATTGGTTGGTCTTTTGATACGGCTCTCAGAAGTAGGTTTTTCTTATAGCTTTGCTTGACAATTTGAATGATATTCTGGTCCATTGGTTGAATCAGTGCAGTGCAATTTGGCGGAAGAAACATCGCAGTGATGCATTTATCCTCAGTTGTTTGTTCTTCTTCAGACGGATGACCGGGAGCGTTATCAAGAAGCAACAACGCTTTTTGAGGAAAATTATGATCTTTTAACCATTTTCTAACGTCAGGTACGAAGCATTCATCAAACCACTTTTTGAAAAGGTCTTTCGTCATCCATGCACTTTTTTGTCCATAATAGTGTACAGGTAAATCAATGTTTTTGAATGCCCGTGGTTTATTAGATTTCCCAATGACCATCATCTTAAGCGCGTGTGTGCCCGCAGCGTTAGCACATGGTAGTATGGTTACACGCTCTTTACTCACTTTTCGTCCAGGTACGGATTTTTCGTTACAAGAAAGTTTTGTTAGGCATCACACGCCAAAAAAGCCCTGATTTGTCTTCATTGTACACCTGTGACGGGTCAAGATTTAAATCGGTCATCTTTTGTAAAAACCTTAATTTAAAGTGCTCGATGCAGGTGGCATCGTTAGAAAGTTTCTCTCCTGTAATTGTCATTAAACGTATGCCATGACGACTTTTAAAACGTTCTAGCCATCCTTTGCTGGCCACAAAATCATCTTTTTTTTGTTATTTCCTTATAAAAAAACTTAGCTTTCATGGCCAACATGGGTGCTGAAATTGGTGCATGCCTATTTCTTTCCTGAAGAAACCACATGTATAAAGCTTCTTCCACTTCTGGATATACAGCTTTCTTGAGTGTCTGTCTCTTGCCTGGCCCGCAGTCAGTAGTTGACACGAACTTCTTGATCTTCTCGTAGTTTCTTTTAATGTCATAAATTGTAGATCGGCCTACGCCGTATTCACTTGCTAAACTTACTGAAAGTTTCATTGATATTTAAGCGGTCTAAAATATCACATTTTTCTTTAATTGTCAATGTTTTGTGCTTTCGCTTCTGAGTTTGGGATGACATTACTAGGTACTATACTTGATACACAATGAATAAATAGTAAACAATGAACGCACGCTAGGCCGTACCGCTATCACAAGTAGTCAAATTCAAACTAAGTAAAACAATGCTTACGCGTCGAGCACGATAGCGGTGGCGCGTACAAGTTGTAACCTGTCCAAACATGCGTGATCTACATTAGCGAAGATTGTCAAATACGTATGTATGTCATATTCAAAGACATGTCGGATTACAGAGGGCGCCGGATTAGACAGGCGCCGGATTATCGGTGGTCCACTGTATATCTGTTTATTTGTTATGGTGGCATGGTCCATCGACCTTGTTTGTTTTCATGGGGCGTGAATGATATGTGTCTAAGTTTTAGTTTTATAAGCTAGGATTTTCCGGGTTGTTGGAACCACCCTGTATTATGACCTGACCCCCTGCCATCGTTCTGTGCAATTTACGCCAGTGAATGCAAGTTACGGGAGACAACATGGTCGTTGGAGGAGATTAATTACCTTGACTTCTCCATCAGTGTACAGTTCGAATATCAAATAAGCTCCGTAATCTGGCTTAACTGTGTCGTCTACGAGATGCAAACCCCTCAGCACATGCACGAGAGTTATGTCATGAGCTGAATATAAATTAACTTGAGCTTCTTCTTGCCCATTTAATATACTTTCCATTGAGCGTAGAACATGTTTCAAGAAAGAACCTGCAATTTTAATCAAATTAGCAAGAAATATTGCGAACAGACAAACAGAATTTGAAAGTAGCAGAGTAGTTTGAATAAAGAGCTTCTATTACTTGGATAAACATTTGCAGTGAGGTTGATTCTGTACCGATCACTAGAACTAGCCAACTATTCATTCTTTTTCCTCCTTTGCCAAAACTGAAAGGATCATTCCCGTATCGTGAAAAGAACCGACACAAAAAATATGGAAAATGGTTCTTAGTCGTTTGGTCTGAAAGTTGAGCATAATATATCTCTCGCTTTCCTAACAAAAGTTCTCACGGGACCTAATCAATCCTATGATTAGTTGCGGATAAACAGAGGAAGGGGTTTGCCGGATTTGCAAAAACGGTGGATGTGCCGATTGTATTAGGGTGTTCGGAAAGTTCTTGCTGTTTTTAATCTTCAAATTCAAAGGTGCATATCGCAGCTTTAATAAAACTTTTTAATCAAAATGAAAACCATTGGAAAAAATTAGAAAATGAATAATAAAATACAACCTCAATTTTTTTACCGCCCTCCAAAGCTGAGGGATGGGAGATATTTTTCACCAAAAAATGAATTTAAGATTTTTTACGTTGATTTATAATTAGCTCTGTTAAAAAGTGACATAACCATTGCTAAAACTAATCATTTAGCTCATCACAAAAAAAATCACAGCCCTAAAATTAATGGCTTAGTTGTAATTACGATTGAAAGTTCATTATCCCGTCTTTTCGAAATTTCACAAAATTGCAAATATCTCCGGAAGTATAAAATTTCGGACAACACATATAGGGGTGCATTCGATATGTTTTGAGATTCTCTATTACCCGACTTCCGTTGATCCACCACTAAATTTACACCCTGTATCTTCTGAAAATACGAATGTTAATCCTGACGCATTTAATTTATTTAGCGATACGAATGTATGCCTTCCGAAACCGAAACCGACATTTCCGTCGTTCTGTCCGCTAATCTTATAACCACCCATAACTTGAGAAGTAGCCCTCTGATTTCGATGAAATTTTCACACAATGTTGCTGCTATGTCAAGGACGCAAAAGCTTTAGTTTTGAAAGTCGGTCCAGAGGCGGCAGAAAGGCCAAAAAAAAATCGGCCAAACCTCATTTTTTGACGTTGCAGACGATCATTTTCGGATTTTTTTTGTAGGGGTTCAAGGGGCAAGGGGCTGCGGGAAGGTATATATATATTTTGTTATACATTCGTAGCTGACTTAGCTGACTTTTTTCTCAGAAAGGCTAACTTGTGTCAAACATAATCCCCAAATGACGACAGTGTAGCGTGAAGAGTACACAGTCAACTTACTTGACTGCATCCGTTTAGACAACTTATCTGGTAACTACGAGGGATGTCTTTTAAGTTTTGCATATAGAAACATAGTAGGCCGCGCGGATCGAACGTTAGTACTAAATCTTAACCTTAACTTAAATTCAAAGATTCACAACAATACGTGCAGTGGTCTCTCTACAGTGAATTTTTAAGTGTCACCAAGTCATTAGAAAAATGGAACTCAACCGAGAACATTTTCGCGCCATAATTTATTATAACTTTCAGAGACAATTATCGCAACAAGAATGCCTTGCTGAGTTACTGTCTGTTTTCGGCAACGACGCGCCACATCAGTCGACAATTTCCCGTTGGTACGGAGAATTTAAACGTGGACGGGTGAGTCTTAGCGACGATCCCAGGGTGGGTGCACCAAAAACGGCAGTCACCCAGGAAATCGTCGATGCTGTGCGCAAACTCATCATTGAAGATAGACATGTGACATATCTCGAGATTGAGGCGTCCTTGAAGATCTCAAAGACCTCAATTCCAAAAAATTTACATGAAGAATTAGGAGTAAGAAAGTTAGTTTCTCGTTGGATACCCCACCTGTTGACTGAAGAGCAGAAAGCAGCCAGGGTTAATTGGTGGCAAAAATCGCTTGACCGTCCGGAAACTTAAAAAATGTGTACAGCATTGTTAGTGGTGATGAATCGGGGATTTACTGTTATGAACCAGAAAATAAACGACAGTCGGCTGTTTGGCTGTTAAAAGGTGAAGAAAAGCCAACAAAAGTCATCCGTTCTCAAAGTGTTTCGAAAAAGATGGTCGCGACATTTGTGTCAAAAGCGGGTCATATTGCATTAATTCCTCTTAATGAGCAAAGAACTGTTAGTGCGGATTGGTACACCATACTTTGTCTGCCAAAAGTCATCACCGAGCTTCGAAAAATCAACCCCGAAAGAAGAATCATCCTCCACCAAGACAATGCACGCTCGCACACAGCCCAAAAAACAAAGCAGTATTTAACGGAAGAAAAAGTGGAATTATTGGACCATCCTCCATATAGTCCCGATCTAAGTCCTAACGATTTCTTTACTTTCCCGAAAATTAAAAACAGACTGCGTGGTCAAAGGTTCCAGTCACCAGAAGAAGCAGTTGACGCATTCAAAAATGCCGTTTTGGATCTGCCAGCAAACGTGTGGAATAAGTGCTTCGAAAATTGGTTCGAGCGCATGCAGATTTGTATTAATCTTAGTGGAGAATACTTGGAAAAAACAGTAAAGTCCTTTAAAACTACCTACCGTGTTGTTTTATTTCCATATGCAAAACTTAAAAGACATCCCTGGTATTATTGAATGTTATGAATCTGCGGTGTGGGTCGAATTTGGGACACCCGGCTTATAGCAGATCTTTGACCTTGAAATTGAGCAAAAACTTGTTATTACTAACTAACCTCCCTTAATTCTCTTCATATATTCTGTTTCTGAATAATACGCCAATGTCCGCGCGGCCAACATCTTCATATCTGCCATCATGGAGTCATTCAGCCAACTAGGAAGAGTTAGATTATGATACCTTTGAATATGAAGTATGATGTACAAACTCTCCACTTGTCTAACTGTTTTTATCTCCATGCCAGTATGCTTTGAGAGGTGTTGAAGTAAGGGCTTGTACTTTCTTTCTAGAGCTTTCAACACTGGAGAATTCTCGACGTCTTTGAACATTGCGTCGTATTTGGGACATGGCTTTTTCATGACTAGTGTCTGAAACAACATATAATATTTTTGATAAACAGGTTTTTTTTTCAAGGGAAAGGGGTGGCTACCAGTAAAATCGGTTCCAAAAACAGCTACAAAGTTGGAGGAGTGCGAATGGTGGTTTTCCTTAATGTCTTGCCACGCTGAAGTGGAGGGAATAGCACCCAAACCAACACAACTATAGCCCATTCGTACTCATTTATGCCCAGACGAAACACAAAATACCCAAAAGCGCGATTGTACAGGGCCGTATTTGCCTCAATGGTCTTGGAATAATCTAACAAAATTAATTATTATTTTTATAGAAAGAAGTGCACATACTTTCCACAGTTCTTTATTTGCTGGAAGTGCCTGAATCATCGTCCGAATGGTTAATATTAATTATTACAGGTTCAATTTGCATATCGATCATATTGTCCATATCCCACATCTTTGTTTCTATTGTCTCTTGAACGTGATGGATGCTATCTTTCCAATGGTTTGCGGTCTCTCTGTAGACAGCCTCATAAAACAAATTTTTCACGTCAGAAAATTTGAATGTTCAATTGTTTGAAGCCACATAGTTTTTTATATTTGCCCAAATTATTTCAATGGTATTTAATTCGCAGTGATAAGGGAGTAGCCTTAAAACGGTCTTATTTTGGTTTTTAGCCACTTCGTCAATAACAATAAGATTATGTAAATATTTGTGCTGCCTGACTAGATGGATAAGTTCTGCTTTCACCATAATTTCTTTGAAACTCATGTCTTTTGATAGGAGCCATTGTTGAATTTCTGCCTCTCTTGTGGGCCTTGTGGTTTTTTTCTAGTTTTCTAGTGTGATATTATGCAGGATCCTCAAGTACAATGACGGTATTGTCGTCAAGTTTTGGGATCGTTTCTTCAAACCATCGTTCAAATGAACTCCCGTCGATTTCTTCATGATAGTCAGTCGTTTTCTTTGACTCATATGTCCATAGGTCAGTGGGAACAAAGCCATCTTCACTGCCAATCTGACAGATAACAAATCGTTTTCCTTTTCCTGGAAGTAATTATTCCATATAGTATTCTAGAAAACTAATAATAATATGTACAAGCAGAGTATCTAACAGGTGTTGGTTCCAAATCTACCAAATATAGTTAAGTTTACTGGACACAATTTTTACAACACAAATGACGAATTGGTTAGATACATTTACCTGGCGGATTATTTAGGCCAAATCTACCAAATATAGTTAAGTTTACTGGACACAGTTTTTACAACACAAATGACGAATTGGTTAGATACATTTACCTAGCGGAATCTTTAGGCCATCTGATTTAATTGAAGAGTCAGCCCATACTTTAGGTTTTCTATGTCCTGCATTTGTCCAGGTTGCATCCAAGTAATAAATCTTCCTGCCCCGGTCGCGGTATTTCTTTATTGATTTTAGATTTCTTCTCCATAAAATAATCTCTTGGCTGTCCATCAAAATACTATTTCTGTCCCGTTTTCTATACTCAAAGTGAAGTTCTTCGAGTAAACTATAGAATGTGGTCCTTTTGAAAGTAGGTGAGTCTTCATGATTATTAACCTCCTGTAATACTTTGTCTATGGTCGGAAGTTCGTGCGTTTCAAAAAATTGATGGGCTTTGCGTGTGCTGGCATTTCGATCAAAGTTATCAAACTGACAATTTCTTGTTTTATTATATTCTTCAACAATGTTGAAAATTGTCTTAGGACATATGCCTGTTTTGTTCGAAACACGCCTTTCAATATCATTTTCATTTCAGGATACTCTAAAATTTCGCTCTTATAAACGTTAAGGACAATTTCTTTTGCCTGAATATTCAAATGTTTCTTCTTGTCACGTTTTTTTTTGGGGGGGGGAGACATCAAGACATCACTGAAGAGGAAGCATGGCTGAAGGAAGCTTTGAGAGAAATATTCGCAGTTTCATCTGCTGTATCCGTAGACGACATGCTAACGTATAAACACACCGAATATGAACAGCAGCTGCCGGCGTCGGCGTGCCGGAGATATCCCGAGCCTGAGTTCTATCCTGTCGAATCCTGCACTTGTTCGTTGTTTTATGGTGGAATGACCACCAATATCTATTGCAACGCTTAGGCGGCTGCCGCTTTGCCGCGCTGCATATTTATTGTGCCGGAGCGTAAATGGACTACGAATAGGGTATAAGCGTGAGGTAGGTACAAAAAGGGTGCTACTCCATAAACTGGTGATTGTGGTCCAAATATCCCAAAATCTGGAAATCAAGCCTCAACAGGAAAGCAACTGATACAGAACACCTAACTTTATGAAAGGAAGTTAAATGAGTGACCTTGAAGATATGTTTGGTAGGAAACCAAATATTCTTATATAAGTTCGTATGGAGTAAAACCACTCAGTGGGACTGAGAAAGAAAGATATATGTGTTAAATCATACTTTCAGAATCAGGTAGTTTTGAAATCAAAAGATCAATAAATTTGCCAAAAGAAAATCATTGAAAAGGGTTTGGCCTAGGAATCGGTACTCTATCATTAATGAACAGAAATTCAAATTATTGGTAAGTGATCAAAATAGTAAAAAAAAGATTACGTGATTTTGGCAGGTTGAAAATAATACTTTGTGTAGTCAAGAAAATCCAAATGATAGATAATCAAAATAAATATTATTTATATAATAATAATAATTAGATTGGCCGCCTGTGGTCGGACGTACGAAAGCCATATACTACACTGCCATGCAAAATTAACCGGACAAACAATTTTGTTCAAATTAAATTTGAAATACCTTTTTAACCTGAGCATCAATTTCGCCAAGTTATAGGTAATTTCATTGTCATTATTATCGACTGCCGATCTTGCAAAAAAAATAAAAATGTTTGCTGTTATACAGGGTGTAACTAAAAGGTGCATTTTGCCCTAAGTTTCTGAACACCCTGTGGATACATTCGATTGCTGAATAACGTGTCTTTGCATGAGAATTTTAAGCCACAACTTTTCTCAACAGTTTTTTTTTTTAGTTCATGTCAATATCTCAATTATTGGAGAATATATGTTGTTTTGAAGAAAATCATGCGAATCATAGCTATAAACAATTTAATTTAAAAAATTACAGTGGCATCATTGGTAAGAAACTATGAGAATCATAACCATAAACAGTTTAACTAAAAAAAATACAGTGAGATCATTGGTAATTATAAATTATTATCAAAAACGAGTATTTCCTCCTTGGGCTTGAATAACAGCTCCTCTGGCATAGATTCAAATAAACCAGCTATACTAAGTGCCATATAAATCCGAACACCCAGTTTAAATGGTTTTATTTTAATAAAAGTTGGTGAATGTATTTATCTTACTGTAAATAACAAGTGAAAAAAATTTTCAGCCTTATCAGTTGGACATTCCGGTTTTTATACTGCTTTTTTTTTAATTCACTAACGCTCTAAAAATGAATATTTCAGCCGCAGTAAAGAATCAACGTTGGCGGATTTTGGTTCTTGACATCATTTACGATCGGTTACGATGCCTACAGTACGGAGACCTGTACGATTTCGTCAACTTAGTGAGTTTGATAGGGGCCGTATAGTGGGACTTCGGGAAGCTGGACTTTCTTTTTGGGCAATTGCAGTTAGAATGCAAAGATGTGTAGACACTGTGCTTAGGTGTTGTCAGGCATGGCTTCGCGAAGGCCGTACGCTAAGATCAAGGGGCACTGGACGCCGCCGTAGAACAACAGACCGTGAAGATCGCCGCCTAAGATTCTTGGCCTTAAGGGACCGTTTCTCCACTACCAGGTCCATTGCAAATGAATGGTTTGCAGAACACGGAAGACTTGTTGGCATGCGAAGTGTTTACCGACGAATGAGAAGTTTTGGCTTGTTTTCATACCGGCCACACTGGGTCCTCCCTTTAACTCGAGAACACCGACGTAATCGCCTTGAGTGGTGCAGACAACGGTCACTCTGGGATCAGGAATGGAACAGTATTGTCTTTAGTGACGAGTCTCGATTTTGTTCAGGCATGCACGATGGTCGTGCCAGGGTTAGAAGGCGACGTGGTGAAAGGAGGAATCCACAGTTTTTTGTTGAAAGACATGTTCATCACACTGTTGGAGTTATGGTTTGGGGTGCTATAGCTTATGGTTCCAGGTAACCTTTAATCTTCATCAGAGGTAACATGAACGCGCAGCGTTATATCCACGAAGTTCTAGAACCCCATCTTTTACCCTATCTTGACACCCTGGCAGATACAACTTTCCAACAAGATAATGCCCGACCACATGTTGCAAGAGTCACAATAGACTTCTTTCAACATAATGATGTCACATTGTTACCATGGCCACCAAGATCTCCCGACTTATCCCCAATTGAGCACGTGTGGGATATGATGGGTAGGAGATTGCTCAATTTGCAACGTCCTCCTCAGACTCTAGAAGCACTTCGAGAGGAGTTGGTGGTTGCCTGGAATGAGATACCACAGGAGGACATTGACCACCTGATCAGAAGCATGCCTAGGCGCGTTGGAGAATGCGTAGCACATCAGGGTGCATCCACACATTATTAAAGGTCAAAGGGCTTTAAAGCAGTGCAATCATTTTGAAATTTTTATCATTTACTTATTATGCTTCATTAAGTACTTATACAAAATTTTGTTAAAATAAAACCATTTAAGCTGGGTGTTCGGATTTATATGTCACTTAGTATATTATGACTTGGAGTATTTGCTCCCACTCGTTTACCAGCGCCTGTTCCAACGCAGCCACAGTTTTAAATTCTCCACAGCTCTGCTTGAGCCTTCTTCCTAATGTATCACACATGTGCTCAATGGGGTTGAGATGCGGACTCGGTGGCGGCCAGTACTTGAATTCCAACATCGTTGAGGTATTGCCTAGTCATTCTGGCTATATCTTGCATTAGGAGAAATATTTCTCCTATAAAGGGCGTATGAGGAACCACATGTCGACAGTAAGGTGTCCTCCTCGTAGCGAAACAAGATCTGTGCGGGATTACCCAGAAATACCGCCCCACACCATCATTCCTCCACCACCAAATTGCACTCTAGGAGCGAAACAACTTTGAGCATAGCACGTCTTCTCCACACTCTTTGCCGACCATCAGGTGAATATCTCGTAAAACGAGACACGTCTGTAATAAGAACGGTTGTCCAGTCATCCATAAACCAATCTGCATGAGTTCGAGAAAATCCAATAAAGGACCTGTAGCAGGTACACAAGATGGATAGATTTCCTTCTCTCAACCTTCGGCGTACGGTACCAGGTGAAACTATGCTACCATGAACATCATCCAACCTTCGACTCAAAGCTGTACCAGGAACTGCCCTTTCTCTAAGAGCTTGAAGTCTCAGAAACCGATCTTCAACTGCGCTTGTTGCTTTCCGTCTATCCTGCCCAGGTCTTCTTGAGTAAGAACCTGTTTCTCTAATCTAAATCTTTGTATCGCATCGAATACCGTACTGCGTGGAACGGCAAGCCAAAAATTAACGAAATTAATGCAAAGGTTAAACAGTTATTTAAAATTTAATTGTCCGGTTAATTTTGCGTAGCAGTGTGTTTTGTTAAGTTTTGGTAGTTTTAAATTCTGTCGCTGTATTCAGTCAATAATACTCACTGTATCTAGATCTCTGGGCAAATAGTGAACAGGGATAGGCTGCCAAAGAATTTCCTGAGTCCAAACCTGCTCGCCTGTTGGAGGGAACATGCCAGCGCTAAATGCCAATGCACTCATGATACATCTGTCAACAGAACTGCTATTTACTGCTATATTTTTTGCAGAATACTGGGCGGGTATAAAGTCTGAATACTGCTTCCGTAGAATCTGGCCTAGTTTGTACATTTGTAATTTTCCTACCTGAAATATGGAAAGCGTTAAGTTTTCTCTGTAAATATTGTACCTAGAGCTTTTTATTTTGTTAGTTCCACTTTCATTTCACTAAACAGGTTCTCAAAATATAAGACAATCTCTTATTCATAAAAACACTGGAAAATAGTTACTGCCTTGCGGAAAGTTCTATCTTTAAACTTTAAACTTTTGATGGCCAACAAAAATTCTGTTGTGTTACGTATCTTTAATATTCGGAGTAGAGTACGAAACCTATGACACTGAGGTAATTTGACACCCTGCTTTCGACCATGAACAAAATTCCAACATGTGAAGCCCTATTTGAAATAGTAAAAATGTCATCGAGTAGGTTGACTCTACACTTCCACCCAACGCCGTCATCAGTTCATAAAGGAGTATGTTCAGCACAAATTAGTCCTGATCGAAATAAGTCACCGCCATATACGAGCGATGCCTTCTAAGTTTTGCATATAGAAACATAGTGAATCTTAACCTCACTCTTTAGTAAACTTAAATTCAAAGATTCACAACAATAAGTGCAGTGGTCTATCTACAGTGAATTTTTAAGTGTCACCATGTCATTAGAAAAATGGAACTCAACCGAGAACATTTTCGCGCCATAATTTATTACAACTTTCAGAGACAATTATCGCAACAAGAATGCCTTGCTGAGTTACTGTCTGTTTTCGGCAACGAAGCGCCACCGTCAGTCGACAATTTCCCGTTGGTTTGGAGAATTCAAACGTGGACGGGTGAGTCTTAGCGACGATTCCATGAAGAATTAGGAGTAAGAAAATTAGTTTCTCGTTGGATTCTCCACCTGTTGACTGAAGAGCAGAAATCAGCCAGGGTTAATTGGTGTCAAAAAACGTTTGACCGTTTCAATTCCGGAAACTCAAAAAATGTGTACAGCATTGTTAGTGGTGATGAATCGTGAATTTACTGTTGTGAACCAGAAAATAAATGGCAGTCAGCTGTTTGGGTGTTCCAAGGTGAAGAAAATCCAACAAAAGTCATCCGTTCTCGAAAAAGATGGTCGCGACATTTGTGTCAAAAGCGGGTCATATTGCAACAACTCCTCTGAATGAGCAAAGAACTGTTGCTGCGGACTGGTATACCACCATTTGTTTGCCAAAAGTCATCACCGAGCTTCGAAAAATCAACCCCGAAAGAAGAATCATCCTCCACCAAGACAATGCAAGCTCGCCCACAGCCCAAAAAACATGGCAGTATTAACGGAAGAATATGTGGAATTATTGGACCATCCTCCATATAGCCCCGATCTGAGCTCTAACGATTTCTTTACTTTCCCGAAGATTGAAAACAGACTGCGTGGTCAAAGGTTCCAGTCACCAGAAGAAGCAGTTGACGCATTCAAAAATGCTTTGGATCTGCCAGCAAACGAGTGGAATAAGTGCTTCGAAAATTTATTTAAGACTACCTACCGTGTTGTTTTAATTCCATATGCAAAACTTAAAAGACATCCCTCGTACACATAGACTTTGGTTAGAGAGTATTTGTTATGCTTTCGTTCGTTGTGGACGAAATCAGCATGTTTAAATTAGACCCTATAAGAAAAAAGTTAATTACGAACATGTATATAAATTAAACGGATCAAGTCCGTCAAATAGGTTCTTACAATCAGTCCATATCATCGTTTGCATACCATTCCCGTAGTTCCGTCTATCTGGCAACGTCGCATCGCAACTCAACAGAGCAGGGACGCTTGTCGACATGTGCGCCCATTGGGGGGGGGGGCATATGCCCCCTCGCTTCTGCTTCAAAGTGAAATACTTAATAAGATGCCCAATCATTAGGTAAGAAGTGGCGCGTGAGTTTTTTAGCTATTCAAAACATTCAAACATCCCAACATAGAAGATTTTTCTGTTGTGAAGAGTCGTGAGTTCGCCGAGCAAGCTTTGGGTTGATCGAACAAATGGGGACAATTTTGAACAGTTTTTGTAAAAACGGTATCAATTTAACTTGATGATTTCTTTTAAATAATTTTCAATAATGTAAGCTAACTCTCTTATCATGCAACTTTTATAAAGTTGGTTTTTGGTATATCAAGTTCTACAAGCCGTTAAAATAAATGACTCAACTTTGAAAACACCCTGTATACTGACACATGATTTCGAACGATTGCCTCTATTCTGGGACACTCTGTATAAGCAGTTAAATAGCATGAGCTTTATGAATGGTCAACTCACATTGGTCAACGAACCCCATCCTCCTGGCCAACTATAGTTCCAGTACGGATCTGTTGGATATGATCCGCTGGGCGACCTGTCTCCGTGTCGAAACAGCTAAATCAAAAGTAAACATTATATAATTTATATACAATTAAGTAAAAATGGATAAACTGAAACAAACTTACAATATGTAATTGCTTCAAAGGCGGCCCCGCTTGCGATGTAGATAGGAGTAAACATACGGTGATTGCACCTGTTAACATGTTTTGTACTATATAAGGAATAAATACGTGCTTTCTTCAAATAAAAGTAAGCATGAACTTATAAGTTTACAAAGCTGCTAGTAGGAACGAGATTTATGTATGTATGTCGCTTTATACATATGCCCCACCGGTACAGGGCCGGAGTCGGTAATCTAGATTTTTGCTATTGTACAAAGGGTACTATAAAAGTTTTGCAATATGACAACAAACAGACGCAGGAGGCTGCATACTACCGCACGTTGAGATATGTCCATGAGTGCATAGTAGTCGCCAGCAGCAGGTCTGTTGATTTAGTTATTCATCCGTATTGACAGAATAAAGTGCGGACCATGGCATCGTGGTCACGTAGTGAGATAACTTTACGCGTTGATATTCAATAAAAACAATGTCGGAGCCTTCCTTGGGGAGACTTGACATTATGGGATGAAGAGAAGAACGGGTCAATTACGACGGGTATCTTGGGGTCGCTGGTATCGGAAAACATTCTGCCATGTCGCTGATCATACCGTGTGATGTTCCAGATATTCCAGAAGTATCTGATTTATACAGGTATACCTCTCCATCTCCTTACTTATAGCAGAAAGTAAAGCTATTATAGATATTAGTTATTATAGGTCTATACCAGGGCGGCCCGATAAGTACTTAGCCTACAAAAGAAAAACGAAAACTTTGAGTGGCGATTTATTTCTCAATATAGTCTACTTTTAACTCGAGATCCTTTACATAGCGATGCTGCAACTTCTTTAAACCGTCTGAAAAATGCGTTTTCTAGAGGTTTACAAAGTAGAGGCCTCCGTGGCGATAACCGCCTCATTCATGTCGGTGTAAGGTGGGGGCTTAAGCCCAATATGGTACGGCTTCCTGGTCTGGTGACCTTGCATTAGAACTGAGACAACTAAGGGAGGTCCCCGTCCTTATAAGTAGGGGTGATCGTATTACCCCTAAATATCGCTTCAACCGCAAGTTTATTGTGGAGTAACCAACGAGGGAGGAGTGGGACGCCGGTAGCCGGAGACTCTCAGGAGTCAGCGGGCAGGTCTGGTACACGTACGGCTCGGTCACCGAAGAGGACTCAGGTGCTGGGTCTCTGAGCCTAGAACTAAGCTCGGTGGATACACCACTATTTTCCAGACGGAAATCTTTGCGATTCTGGCTTGTGTATCTCGCATTCTGGAGGAGGGTGGGCCTAGGAGAAGAATAACAATCTTATCTGACAGCAAGGCTGCTATGAAAGCACTAAGTACCTGTAAGATTACTTCGAGTGTTGTATTGCAATGCAGGGAGGCTCTGGGTCGATGTGGGTACCGGGGCACGCTGGGATAAGGGGTAATGAGACGGCGGACGCTCTGGCGAAGACAGGATCAGCCAGCAAGCTCGTTGGTCCTGAGCCAGCTTTAGGAGTGACCGCGCATAGAGCTAGGAGACGTGGGTTGCAAGACAACACTCTCAGAAATGGAGAAGTATCTCCAGACATCTCAGCCATGCACGGGAACTCATTGAAGGGCCCAGTGCTAAGGATGGACGTTTCTGCTTATCTCTGGATAGAGCCAACCTAAGGTTGCTGGTGGGACAGTTGTCTGGCCATAACACGTTAAGGCGCCATCTGAACGTGATGAGGGTGGCTGAGGCAGGCTATACTGGGGTCCATTACTTTGGATCCTCAGGATGTCAAGGAGCTTGGACTCAATGCGATTCTCAACTTCGCTAAAAGGGCCAGGCTTGTGATCTAAGGAATGTAGAGGTGCGAGGTGCATAAGGGCCCGCTTAAGCGGCCTATGCACTAGCTCCTTATGGTGGCCGGAATGCCTCTAATTTCACGATTCATTCATTTACCTCATTCGACTCAAATTTCTCCCGGCGAGAGACATTTTCAAATTTGGAAACAAAAAGAAGTCGCACGGGGCCAAATTTGGAGAATACGGTGGATGGGGCAGCAGTTCTTAGCCTAATTCGACTAATTTGGCCGTGGCGATGGCGGGCCTTTTTTTTCGCAATTTGACGTCGAATCGGCATAGTGACCGTTTTTACCTCCGGGTAGTTGATGTAGATCACACCTTGTGAATCCCAGAAAACGGTGGTCACCACCTTTCCGGCCGATAGGACAGTCGCACCATTTCCGTGAAAAAAGTATCAAGATTTCTAATTTTGTTACTGGTAAACGGATTTTTATGAGCCATACCTCATTAGAAACCTAAAGAAATTTCCTAAAAAAAAAATTGTATCAAAAATTGACAAATGTCAAAAATTTAAGATGGCGACACTATACAGGGCGTCCCTAAAAGTTCTTTACAAAATTTTAGCACATATTCATGAGTTCAAAATAAGCCTCACTGAAGTACACTTCTCAAACCTCCAGTAACAAAAATTATGGTGATTTTCTGGCACATGTGTGGGTACTTGACATCATGATTCTCATACAATTGATTGATATCAAAATAGTTGAACAAATAAGAACCTTACATAAATTACACCATAATCGACTTGATCCGGCAACGTTGCTTCTATCTGTTCATTCATGTTTTATCCACATCGTAATACCCTCTCCAGACTCACGCGCGAAGCTGCGAACTATCCGCGACCCATGAGTGTGGATCTCATTCGCGTATTCTTCGCGGCTTCACGTCGCGTTCGCGCGTTGTTCCCGTTCGTTGTCGGTTTTTTATCCCGCGACAAAGGGTTCGCAAGGCGCGAACATGACTAGGCTCCTCATTCGCTGGCGTTTCAGGTTTCAGTTGCATCATAGCGAGTGCCGGGAATGGTTGTTTTTATTCCACTTCTTTTCAATTGTTTTAGTTTTACTTATATATGCGTAATTATAAATTGCCAAAGCGCAAAGTAGCCCTACAGCAGTAGTAGCAATTTCACCGTCAATAGTAGTCAAGAGCGCGAACCGCGCGAACTATACTGTGAAGCAGGCGCGAACATCTGCGAGTGTGGAACTGTAAGAACAAATTTCAGGATTCGCACCGCGATCCGCGCCGTGATTCGCGCGTGAGTCTGGAGAGGGTATAAGAAAATAGTATATTGGTAGCACTACTTTAAGTTGAACAACTACCATTTTGTGTCAATTTTCAAAGCTGTTTTGAGAACGAATTCCGTTGCGGCTTTTATTTATGATTGAGATATCAAGTTTATTCGAAAATTATCCATTTCAGAAAGACTATAAAGGTATATTCAATTGCAATAAAATGGTGCAGCAAATCTTTAACATTTCATTCGTAAGTATACATATACATCCTATTTATGTCCAGATGCGTATCATGGCGTCTCGTTATCAGGAACTCGTTGATAGCTTTCGATTCATAAATGTAATATTCGAAATTCCAGCCTTCCCAAGGATTCGGAAAGGAGAAACAGGTGTTTGTCGGCCCAAGGATTCGTCAAAAACCAGCAATTTCCTAAGAGGGTGGAGCTATGTTCCAAGCATTTTGGAAAAATGCGTTTGCTTACGGAACATAATAATTAGTCAATATGCATATATATATAGAATGTGTTCATAGTTAATTGCCTTAACTGTTAGGAGAAATATCCTTTAATTTCTTTAGGTAGAAGGCAAAGTACACTCTTATAACATAAACTCAAGCTTTCGAAAATCTATGTCTTCATCGCCTGGAGTAAGTCGGCGAGATTGTTGCTGAAATTGTTTTTAAACAACAGTGAAGGGAACACGTAGTCGACGAATAAAAAACTGGACCGATGAGGTTCGATTAGGATGGAATTATTTTATTATTAAACGGCTAATCATCATTCGCCGTTTTTTGTTCTACATGTATTGAAAAAACTCATTGAAATTTAAATATAGGTTTACTCAAGTAAGTATTTTTCTGTGTACTTAATATTTTCGGGAACTTTTTGTAAAAAATAGCAGAAAAAAATGTGCTAAGTGCCATTACAAAAGTATGAATATTGTAAATAATAACGGAAAAAACATGAAAAATTTAGCTTCTAATGAATATTAGTATTCAATAGATCTTCATAAAATTGTCTGTTTTCTTCCTTCAAATTCTACTTTGGCAGGTCAGGTTTGGAAGAGTCATTTTTGCGAGTTTCATTTTTAGTAACATTTTTCTTCAAAATATTTGTTGTTTTCTAAGGCTCTATGTCCTTCAGGGTTTCTCGGATGCAAACTAATCGTGGATTTTCTAGGCTAATATTGATCCACTGGACTTTAGAAATTTGAAGCTTGGATGTATTGATTGAACTTTCAGAACCATTTTTAAAAGCGAAAAGTCATCACAGTTCATGATTGTTACAAGAAATGGTGTTTTTTCACTGCTGATCCTCATTCTCACCAAATACTTGCATTTCTTTTTTCGCTTTTCAATTTGAGTGAAATTCCTGTCGCAGCTCATAAAAGAATGACACGACACTAGATATTTTTTATTGTTCACATCGAAATGCCCTTTGGAAACTAAACAAAATCCATAAAAACAATAACAATTATATTTATATAAATAAACAACGTCGTATTAATTGGCACTATGTTGTTGGTTATGGCACCTAGAACATTTTACAAGTATAAAATGAAAAACCGATTTTTTGGCACTTACCTAGCACATTATTCACTTCAAGTCTTCATTTAATCATGTAACTCGTACGGGACATGTAAATCAATATCTTTTAACGCATGTTTTAAAACGAACAAGTTCAACAATGAGAATGATACAAATTTATCGACTTATTCTGGACGAGTGAACTTAAGAAGAACAAATAAGGTGCAACTTTTTCAACACACAATACAAATCATACTTGATTAGTTATCACTTAAGTTCCCACATATAGCAAGTCGCCAAGTTTGCATGAATTTAGCCTCTTTGTCTTTTATACTTTGTCCTGTGGGGTAAGTCCGCCACTGTGATATTTTATCATGCACCATACATATTTCGCTGAAATTTTATTCTACTTTTGCCTTACTCCTGAATTTATGTACTAGCTGGTAGACTTTTATCGTCTTCACAGAACGTGCATTATAGATGATATAAAACGCAGGAAGATTACTTACAATATGTTTATTTGATGGATTTCTTCATTTAAAAACTAGGTACATATTAAAAATATATATTAATACTTTGGTAAAATCGTTGCTACACATCTAAAAGCCTTATGTTGTATTTGTGTATACATATTA